AGATACAACTCCTCTACCTATGTTGAATACATAGCCACTAGTTTCTTTGGAATCATCTGATAAGGTATTCCAATCTGCATCATTATATCCTTCAGGTACAATAAAAAATCTTTGATAATGTAAACCGAGATTTATAGTCCTTTTAAGGTACTGTATGACTCGCTCAATAGCTTGCCAATGTTCATTACTCGGTCTACTAGTAAACCCGCACAATAATCCCACGACATATACAATCTCAGGTTTAGTACAATCAATAGAATACCTAAGACTTCCAATGATGCTCGCGTGTTCTGTTTGTCTAACACTTTCACCAGTATTCTTAAACAGCTTCACGCTTAGATCATTTGGTGTGCTCACAAGTTTACTGTCAAAGTAATTATATTTCTTTAAGATCTTTTTCACATATTGTGATTGATCCAAAGAAATTCCTTGCTTGGATTTTGTGATCTTGATACTAAAAATCACACTCACTTCTCCGAGGTCTTTCATATCAAAGTTGTTTCACAATAATGATTTCATATCATTAATGACCTTAATGTTTGATCCAAATATGAGTAGATCGTCTACATATAGACATAAGATAGTGCAAATACAATTCTCAAATTTGTAATAAACGTATTTGTCACTTTCATTCACTTTGTACACATTCGATATCATTATGTTATCAAACTTTACATGCCATTGCTTTGGAGCTTGTTTTAGCCCACACAAAGACTTATCTAACTTACAAACCTTGTTTTCTTATCCATAGATCACAAATCCTTCCGGTTGTTTCATATAGATTTCTTCTTATAAGTCACCGTTTAAAAAGTTGTTTTAACATCCATTTAGTGTACTATTAAGGTATAAATAGAAGCTATTGAAATAAGTACCCTAATAGATGTAATTCTAGTGACAGGAGAAAAGGTGTCGAAGAAATCTATATTTTCTCTTTGTCTAAAACCCTTGGCAACAAGGCGAACCTTGTATTTATCAATAATTCCATCAGGTTTTAGTTTCTTTTTTAAAACCCATTTACAACCGATTGGTTTGAAACCAGGAGGCGAGTCTACTAAGTGTCAGGTCTTGTTAGATTCTAGAGATTCTATCTCATAGTTGATAGCTTCTTGCCATAAATAAACATTCAGAGATGACAAGGCTTCTTGAAGATTCATTGGATCTTCTTCTACATTATAAGCCGCATAATCAGGCCTATAGTCTTTAGCAACTCTTACTCGTTTACTTCGTCGAAGTTCTGTTTCTACATTGTCGTTGCTTTATGTGCTTCTTATCACAGGAATTTGACTCGATTATGTGCCCCCACCATTTCTCAATTTGAAAGGAAATTTGTCTTCATATAATTCAACATCATTTGATTCTATGATCACTTTTGCCTTTAGGTTATAAAACCTATATGCTTTACTATTTGCTGCATACCGAATGAAAACACATTCATATGCTCTACTAGCGAGTTTAACTCATTTCAGATCCGAAATTCTGACATAAGTCAGACAACCCCAAGTTCTCAAATAAGACAAATTTGGTTGTCTTTTCTTTAATATCTCATAAGGAGAGGTCTTACATTTTGACTTGGGGACTCTATTCATGACATAGCAAACAGTCAATAAAATTTCCCCTACCAGTGAGGTGCAGCACCATAATTCATCATAATTGTAACAACAAGTTCAGTAAGAGTTCTATTCTTTCTTTTTGTTTTACCATTCATTGCAAGATAGTATGGTGCAGTCGTTTCATGTACAATTCCATGTATAAAATTCATTAATAAACTAGAATCATACAGTTTATTTATCACTACAAATTCTTATTATATCATTTTCAAATTCTTTACAAAAAATTTAAACATATAAACTTCATTCTTCGTAATGGCGTACAAATATACCCCAATAGACTGACTAAACCCTATCTTATTTAAAAGAAAACCCGAAACAATATTATTTCTAATCTTAGGAACATGCATAATGTTCCTTAAGATTAAAGTCTTTTTGAAGGTGAAATTTAGCTCCATGTCTACAATTCCAACAATATCTGTGGTCTGGCCATCTCCCAACAACACTTTCTTATCTTTAGTATTCGTGTATGTTTAAACATAAAACGATCATAACAGACACAACGAGAGATGCATGTGACTATCCACCAACTAACATATCCATCAACCATGTTGATTTCAATGACCATAGCAATAAATTACCCATTAGTCAGGTTGACATGTGCATTAGGGACAACACCAAGCTCAAGCTTACTTCTACATTTCTTAGTTATATGACTTGATTTCCATAGTTAAAACAAAGAGAAACCAATGTCATTTCTTTTAGGTGGTGGTGGTTGCCTAGTTGGAGCTATTGGGATCATAGAAGGATTCCCATTCTTAATTTGGTTTACAATATTACGGTTCTGATTCTTTAATCATTTGACAAATGGCTTCAGAACTACACCGAATTTCTTTTTGTTGTTTGAAACAACCAATATTTTTTTTTTTGATATTGTCTCTAAGATTCCCTTTTTGTTTTTTAAACATTCAAGCTGTGGGGTAGGTTGTCAATAATAAAATCAAATTTGAAATTGTTTATTTAAACACATACCTTTTGTGATGACCTTTTAAGCAATCTTTTGAAGTTCGTAACATTGAGCCTCCATCGATCTTACATCTTTGCATTTGATACTTAAAGTAGCGACTAACAACATACTTCTTTGCCCCAGCTTCTACGTCATACTTCTTTTTCTGAGTCTCTCAATCTTGTTTTGCAGTATCACATAAACTGTAATTATCATACAGATCATCTACGAGTCTATTCAAAATATGATTTTGTAGAGATTTCCATTCTCTTTCTATAAGGTGATTTCTTTACTATGCTGTAAATCATTTGCTTTAATTTGTGCAGCAGATTCAACTTCAACACCATTAAATGTTCCTTCTAAATCTCCAAATTTACTACCGTTAGTTTGTTCGATTGATCCAGAAGGAGGAACAGAATGTCATCGATCAGAACGTTAGCAACTTTATTTCAACGTTAAGAACTTCATCTTTTGTTGTCAACATTTGAAGTGACTTCTCTCAAACATGAACGATTTCTCAAAGACAATCTACAAAAGAACCAATAATTTCTTCGATAGCCATAACAGTTTGAAACGTCTTAAAATTATTGTTTTCGGATTTTAAAATGTTTGTCACTGAAGAAATTACCAGGTTGAGTCGCGAACTAGGTCGCTCTCTTTAAGACACACCACTCATAGTATCTGGTACAAAGACCAGTCATAATAATTTCTCAAACAAAAAGAAACTAAAATAGTTCTCCAAAGAGAAATTAATAATGGTCATTTGACCACTCATAATAATTTCTCCAACAAAGAAAAATTCAAATAATTCTCTAAAGAGAATCCAAAAGATTAAACTTGAAAATTTCTCAACTCAAATGAGGAAAAATTAACATAATTCTCTAAAGAGAATTCAAGAAAATACTCGAAAAATTCAACGAGTAGGAAGAAAAGAGAAGAAGATGACGCTTCGACAATTCGAGAGACGCAGAGTTATGAGAGTGAAGAAGGAAAAACTAATAGAATAGTTTTTGGTGTGATTTGGAATGAAATATGTGCTGAAATAAGATATAGTTAATATTTTAACACTAGAGCAATATGAGACTAAATGGTTTTTTTCAACCAGAAAGATATTTTAACAACGTGAGACTTTAGAAATTTTTAAATTCAATATATTAGAACATTGACATGTTTCAACAATTACAATGAAATCACATGTTGACCCTCTCAACAATCCAGTTTTCCTTTGCCGTCAAATTCAAACTTCATCTGAATGTTAGCCTCTGATTACTCTTTAGATTCAAGTAATCAACATGTAAATGATTGAAATCATATTCAATATGTAAACAAATCCATAAAATACAACATAGCTTCAATCGTATCATAGACGAATTCATACTGCTGGAGAGATCGGAGATCTCCACGAACATGATCGCTAACAAAAAGATAACTTGTTTATTCTTTTCGGTTAGGGAGCTCGGATGTTTGATTAAATGTCTGGCATCCAATCTGTTTTGTCGGTTTAAACATCCTCATAGAGACTGCTTCTCGGGAAGAGTATGCATGATAGTGGAGAGTTATGATAATTATAACCTAGTAAATTTCTGCTAACATTCAGTCTCAACACTCATAATTTTTGTTATTGATTCAATGAAAGCATAGGCTGCATACCATGTAGTTCTCGAACAGGTTGTTAAAAGCTTGTACTATAAGGGCGGCAGGAGGCTTTTGGCTTCATGATACCCGACCTCCCGGTTGTCTCCTAAAAAGGCCGACATTCATCAAGGCGCTCGTTTCATAGTGAAACGAGATCATTTTGATTGACCGTGAACGGCTATTGGAATCATGTCTGGTTTTGTTATCAGTGCCGACGGCTTCATTTCAGATAAGTTTCACATTTCGTCTATCTTATCTGAATCTAAACTCCTTAGTTAGCCTACTGCTTTAAAGACATGTTTGAATTTGTCCACACGAGCTCGATGAAAAGCATGAACAATACAAGGGGCTATTGACTATTGCACTATGTGTTCTCTTAAATCTATATCACGATGGATCTCCTTATGCAGGCATATATAACTAAATAGTGTCAAAATCATTACTACTGAAAATTCTATGGGTGTATTATATTATGCAATGACTTATACACCCTGTTGGATACGGTATTAATTATAGATTTACTCTTCAAGTATTTTCATCAATACTCTAAGAGAATTATGGGTTATGTGTTAAGGTTATCACACGTTTAATTATCACATTCAATGGAATTAGTGTAACGTGTTTATACTGACCGGAACTAAATTCATCTTTATTGCATGTTTTGATGAGCTAGCGTGTTAGTATATGTTACGTGTCGATGCAATATATCAGGATGACAATCAATGCACATAAGAGGGTCTCCGACAGAAGGACGTAAAGGAGAGTATGCCACTTTTGACCAGAACGCATTGCATCCGAACTAAGGTGTTGTGATGGCTACACCGAAAATCGTAGGGCCAGAACCATTCCTTGGTTCACAACATCGTAGTATCAACATCGGCGCCAAAGATAAGTTCCCTTTTACCGCCGATGATACAGCTTATTGCTTGAGTGTATCTCTTATTATCTGTTTCACTACGAATATGAGGTGTTTGACTAAATGTCTTGTATGTGATTAATTGATAAAACTACTTCAATTGATTCTGGTAAAGGGATGATAGTAATAGGACAAGTTCCCTCAAGGCGAAGAAAAGGTGTTCCAAGTAAGGGTGTTCGCGGTGCGGTTTGGGCGGTTTTGAAGCAAAAAATCACCCGAACCGCAAGAGAAAAAAACACGCGGTTCGGTTTGGTTCGGTTGGCTTTTAAAAATAAATCCGAACCAAACCAAATCAAACTAATGCGGTTTGGATTGGTTCGGTTTTTTACAAAAAAAATTATTAAGTCATACAAACAAATATAGAGAAAAATATAATTTTATATTTAATTGTTCGTACATTACCATAAAAAAAATTATAATTGTCAAAATAAGTTTATAATTTGATACATAAAATTGCGTATTATAAATTTATCTAAATCTAAAGAATGATATAAACAAAATTGCATTCTTAAATAAATATTATACAAAGAATACGATAAAATATATTTTGTGAAAATAGTATTTATAAATGAATAATATTTTATTTTTTTATGATTTGTAAATTAAAATGAATATAATACAAAGTATGATAAAATATACACATAATACATGTTTATTTCTCTAAAGAATTAAAGAAATATATATTGGTTAGTAAGATTTTATAACATAATGCGGTTTTGTTTGGTTTGGTTCGGTTTGTAAAATACAAACCGCAAACCGAACCGAACCATGCGGTTCCGCGAGAAAATGACCCAAACACATTTGAACCAAATGCGGTTTTTTGCGGTTTCGGTTTGGTTCGGTTCGGTCTTGCGGTTTTCTATTGGGCCGGTTTGGTTTTGAACACCCCTAGTTCCAAGGCATCAATTTTATGCTAAAGTAACTGATAATGAAAACTTGGCTGGTAGTATCGAAAGGCCTCGACAGAAGCATAAAACGATTACTCAACAGTTTAGAAGGAACTACTTTAAAAATATGCTAAACCGGCTAGAATAACGCCACAATACAGATGTCGGCACAAGAAGATAAGTGATTTCAACTCATTGTGCTAGCTATTCAGAAATAACTATAGTTTAACAGAGAAATATTTGCAGATTATGCATAATATAGCCTCGGAGGTTCATTAGAAGTGAATACATGTTTCATGCGACTGTACTTCTGTCGATGCATGTTTGATGCGGTGTATCTTTATGTCTTTGCATATAATATACTGTCCAGGTGTGACTAACGAACGAACTTGTTAATATGCCTTCAGGAAACTATATAAAAATACTGTGAACCCAATACTATAGTCATTTCTTCGCGTGAGTATTGTGACAAAGGTTGCCGGTGCGATCTCGGGTGTCTCTGAAGCTGCCATGGATCACGACAGCCTCTGAATCAAGGGGTCACATACCAATTTCACGAGGAGAGATTTCGAAAGAAGAAGGGGGCTAGGTCAAGCGTTGCTGTGATTATGCAGAAACGCACCATTGACACATCCTCGATTCCAAAGAGTTACCTCCAGACTTGGTGACTTCGTTCATGGAATCATTCACTTGCTCAACGCTATGGCAATCGACGTCAAACCCGACGCTAAAAGATAAGTAATTCGTACTCGCCATAATAACCAGTTACGATTGATAATTTGCTGAGCTGGAGTATATTTTCTATATTTAGGTGATCTCAAACGATTTCTAAGTTTCGCGAACCGATACTCTAATTGATGCGTAGAATCTGAGAATAATTTCTATGACTTAGTTTTGTTAATGTCTAACTGCGTTCTTCGGTTTATATGGGTTCTTACCTGGATAAATAAATGGTCAAGTTAACAACTCAGATCAGTAGCCTGGTTGCTTTCTAAATCGACCAACTTTATTCATCAGCTTGAATTGATTTTTAGAACACTAGTTATTAAGTTGCAGATTGAATCGGTTGGTGTCCGTTTGAATAGTTCGTTTACCCACGACTTGATGTTAAAAATTCTACAAACAAGTGGAGAATTATAAAGTTTATTTCCTGTTACTATATTTTAAAGCTGTTGTTATGCAGGATGTAACAGGATTACAATTGTTGAGGGTGCATATTATCGTCATAAACAGGGCCCGGAGGCAGCTATGTCGTTGCTTGATACAGGGGGCAAAGTCTTCTAACAGAAATGATCCTGAGATGATTCTGAAGTCCAGCCTGTCCCAATTTTAAATCAGCCCGACACGGGAACCTCCTGGTGTAACAATGATCGGTAATGGCGACGAGAATTACATACAAATTATGTGATTCTCATTGCACCTTATTTAGCGTTAATTTATTTGATTATTCTAATAATTGTGACTAATTCATACTTTGTACGTTGAATGAATTATCGTACGTTTAGCTAACGTCCGTTGGAATTTGTAATGGGCAAAACTATTGGATAGTTAAAAGCGCTTGATCATGCTCATAAAGATCAGAAAATGGGCAAGACAGTTCTTGTCATCGTGTCCTTAGTTCTTGATTAATTACATTAAGAATAATCAAACAGATAGTCACAAGTTGTAAACCTCAATCTCCTCGTAAGGAAAACAAACAAATTTGTAAGTTTTCTCTTGTATTAGTTGTCAAAATGTTGTAAAATAATTGTTATCATGCATGACAAATTTAAAACTGAGTAGGCATATTACATGTGTGTTACCGCGTATAAAAGATAATGGTTAGTTTTGTAAGATAAATTTAGGTATTAATTTATTGTGAATCACGGTCTGACAAGTTTACCAACGCAGATTCAACCTGTTTCAAAGCACATAGGTAAAAAGAAAGCCATCGGAATGAAAATGTCACATGAAGAAAATAAGTCGGACATCTGAGAGGATAGATTAATCGATTAGACAAATTGACTAAATTTGAATAGAAGTTAGAAGACGACAAAAGCCAGGGCTGAGAACAAAGCCCAATGTATATAATTTTGTTTATTAAAAGGCATGATACGATCTCCACCGATTATAATTATTTTAAGAATTACTTAGAAAGCAGTGGGTATCATCCTTCTCTCCTGTGCGAGCAGGAGACACCCTACTCTTGTTAGTCTCAAAGTCAGGTAAGGTTTGTAACAAGTATGTAAAAAATATGTAATTGGTTATGGTCTGGTAGTGCAAGTATAAACACCTGGCCCAAACCTTAGGTCAACCTTGCTAGGGGCTCTGAACCAAAACTAAAGTCCAAGTGCACTTGAAGCCTCTGGCACAAAAACTTCTCCGAGCTCTGCACCTTGGTTCTGATCTGGGCCAGCTCAGGTGTAAACTCTCAAAGCTCTGCACCTTGGGTCATATCTTGATCCTACTCAGGTGCAACCTCTTCGGCGACATACCTTAATTGGATTCCGCCAGAGTCTGCCTAAGGGCATTCTCGAAGGCTCTGCACCTCAGTTCAAGTCTTGAACCGCTCGAGGATAACCTTCCAGGTTTAAAATCCTTGCCAAGTGGTACTCCCTTCGAGGTAACTTTCGAGCAAAAAAATCTTTTCGGGCTCTGCACCCTTGTTCCGATCTGGGCCAACTCAGGTGCAAGCTCTCAGGCGATGTACTTTAATCGGATTCCGCTCCTTCAAAAGGCTCCACACCTCGATTCATATCTTGATCCGCTTCAGGTGTAACCTTTCTGGCGGGATACCTTAATCGGATTCCGCCCCTTCGAAAGACTCTACTCCTCGGTTCATATCTTGATCCGCTTCAGGTGTAACCTTTCAGACGATGTACCTTAACCGAATTCCGCCCCTTTGAAAGGCTCCACACCTCGGTTCATATCTTGATCCGCTTCAGGTGTAACGCTTTCGGCGATGTACCTTAATCGGATTCCGCCCCTTCGAAGGCTCTACACCTCGGTTCAAAACTTGAACCGCCTCAGGTGTAATCTTTTCGGGCTAGGCACCTCGGTTCATATCTCGATCCGCCTCAGGTGTAACCTTCCGAACACTACACCTCGGTTCAAACTTAAGTCGTCTCAGGGGTAATCTTCCAGGTTGTGTACTTTAATCAGGCACGCTCAAAAGTTGCACTCTTGAGCCGACTAGGGTCAACTTTATAGCCTGTGTATTTTGGCCTTTATATATGGACATGGGCTAGCACCCCCCGGTGATCATGAATATACCCGACCTATACGCAAACAAAGAGGTTGACTCTCATCTGGTACTCCTTGCCAAGTGGTAACTCCCTTTGTGGTAACTCCCGAGAAAAAAACTTAAGTCAATGTGCACTCTAAGTTTCTCGCACGATTAAATGCACCTCACATTATGAAAGTAACTAAGTTAAGTCGATGCACACTCTTAGCCTCTCATACGGTCAACCTCGTTAAGGCTCTCAAACCGTTCTTGGTGTATCCTTGCAAGAGGCTCTGAAACTTTAAAATCGGTTAAGCCTCCGGGCCTCTGTCCGCATAAGCCAGATAAGCCTCTGAGTCTTTCTCGCAAACTCATTCAAGGCATCTTTCTGCATCAGTTAAACACTTCCCTCACAAGGATCGAGTAACATCAACACTCCTCTCACAAGGGTCAAGTAGCATTAACACCCCCCTCATAAAGGTCGGGTAGCACAAGCCGTATGCTCCCCCATACGAAATAAAGTGAGTCTTAAAATAAACTTCGGGGAATTATTGTGACAAATAGACATGTAAATAAAGAAAAATTGAACCACAAAATGCTCAAACACCGCGACTCCCCGACTATATAATATGCCTCGAGCCCGAACAAGTTACCAAAACCTCTGAACATTATCTAATGAAGTCCAGGACTTTTATTGATACCAAACGAAATAATACTTACCTCAACGACAAATATTATTCTAAAGTCGGATGGATAAAAAACCCATTATGGTAATTCCCAGGCTTAACAAAGCTCGCTTGGGGCTTACCAGCCCGAAAAGCAAACAAGTGAATGATCACCCAACCTCAAACAGATTCAGGGGTCTTAAAAGAGACACCACGCTGATTGCATAAAATAGCCAAAAGTGACATAAAACTAAGTACTTAAAATGCTTAGTTCGATTGACTTCACATCCAGGATGAAAATAACGAACATGCAGGGCCAAGCCATTGGTTGTTCTAAAAGAATACGGTCAAGCTTGGAACTCATACGAGCGTAGAATCTCATCCTACAAAATTACCCGGATAAATCGGAGACCATTGGGCATATATCAGGGATACAAACTGAACCCACAACCCGACCGGAGCTGCAATAGATTCGAAAAATCCCAAAACAAAACAATTACAAATCCCCAAAAGGAAAAGTTGTTCATCACAAAGCTCGGGGGCTGAAATCAAAGTCTATCCTAAAACACGCTGATTATTTGGAATACCAATTACAGGAAAATAACTATTATGGTCACCAGAGGGTATGAACCCAATATCTGATCTGGGGCTCACCGACAATGGTGCCCGCCTTTGGGCTAGTTCCTTTCCTCTTCTTCACCATACTAAGTTCCAACCAATCAAGTCTATACCTAAAAAATTAGGTGACTGTTGGGGAAGCTAGGGCGTGAGCATCACACATGTCGGGTATGAACTCAACAACCCTCCGATTATAGGAGTCTGGCCCAAAGTAAAAGATCAATATATACGTTGATCAACATAGGGCTTCAATAAAGCCATATGCTCGTGGGGCTTATGTTCATACATAGATCCATTGTCCGGGCTAGGAGAGATAAAAAGGCAAGATATGGATAAAAGGCCAAGGATGAAAAATAAATGCTAAGACGGGTTGTGCTTGGCCAGGTTGTGCCAGGCCGGGTTGGTTACTGTTACAGAACCCAATATGTAGCGATTACGAATGTTACGAGCCATTATGGGCGGTTACAGTTGTTACAATACTTATGGACAGTTATAGCCATTACAAACATGATAATGACCATTAGGCCAAGGACTTGCCTATATAAGGAGTCCTTGGATAGTGGAATAGGGATTTCGGGCAAAACCTCTCTCTCTCTCTCACTACTAACTCTCTGTGACACATTTCAGAGAGATACTACATATCATATAATAGGGCTCCCGACTGAGGGGTAAGCAAGACACATCACTTGGAGCTTACGCATACTCGTGTAAGGCTTCGTATCCCCAAAATCATAAATAACATCCTCTCACTCGTTTAAGGCTCTCCCTGTCATCCTCCGAGCAACAGGGAAATCTCATATTTGTGTTTAGCAAGAACACCCGTGTTTGTTTAAACCAATCTTGTGACTTAAGCTTCATAAGTGCTCCTTGTCATTTTTTTCGTTCTGCACCTTACCCCAAGCAAAAAAGATTATATTCAATGGCTAAACAAGATAGAACCTAAGAAAGCACAAATTTTGAAAGAACAAGGCTTGTTCGAGTTGATCCAAATGTTAAGGGTTGGTCCCAAATATTTCCAAAACATGTTTATCGCGGCGTTTCCATTTTGGGAAGTTACAAAAAATACCTTCCAACTGCCTTGTGTAATGGTCACACCAACTTTGTTTGATGTGGCAGCAATTACTGGACTTTGACCAACTGGCGATGTTTTTGAACCCACTGAGCAGGATGAAGATACTATTAATTTTAATTCCAAACGTTCTAGCTTTACCAAATTTATCAATGATTATTATGAAACCTAAACGGACAAAGTGTGTACAAATAACATATTGCCTTTTTGACATTATGGTTGTCTCATTTCATTTTCTATTGCAAATCTATGAAAGTATCCAATCTAACCAATTACATGATGGTCGAAACATATGCTTTGACCAACTAATCTTAGGTGGCTCGCGACTTACACCCTCAAAAATATTGAACCTAACACCAATATCTTGCTTGTTGGCTCCTTTTGGCTTCTCCAATTTTGGCTTAATTCCACATTCGAGTCTTCTTTGAAGGTAGAAATACCAAACAACCTGGATGAAGAAATTAAGAACCGACAAATTGAAGGCACTAGACTTGTCTTACTTACTTCATTTGACTCGGGATGTTTGACACATTTTTTTACTGAATACTTTATGATGTTCGCAAAGCTCTATGCTTTCACTCCTTCTATGGCCCCTTTTGCAAATTGGAGTCATGAGCCAAAGTTGTTCAAAAGAGAATTTCCTACCCTTGCTCCTGACCATCATGTTGAAGATGTCAAGATCCAGAAAGCTTTCCTTACCCCTAATCTATTGTCGACAATACTTGGGAATAGTAAGGATACTATAGGGCTTGCTAGCTATCAATCCAACCTAGTAGCTCAAGGTTTTAGCCAAGCTTTGCCTAAATCCTTATTTAATCAGAAAAAATAAGCTATGCTTGAGTGCCATAGAGATGACTGAGGTGAGGTATCATGCATGTCTGGATCGATAAACTAATGTGTTTATTGACCTTATACCTTTCCCATTTCAACCATCATTCTACTGCACTCAAGAGTTCGAAACATGGTGGAGAAATTATCAAACTGACAAATTTATAGGTGTGCTTGTTAGACAACGACGCCTTGTCTAGATGGGGGGTGATTAGACCACCAAGCCAAAATTCCAGATAAAAATTTTGATTTTTAAAAGTAGTTAAAAAAAAGTGCACGCAGAAGGTTTTGATATAGATCGAATACGTCGTTTATACGAACCTAGCTATTGGAAGTTAGATATGCAAATATAATGAGATTTGTGGAATGAACAACACAATACAAAATTTAGAAACTTCAATCAAGTAACAAAGTATTAATCATTTATAGGCAGTTACTAGTAAATATATTTCCAATGGTAACTAACAAAATAACAAACAAAAATATTTTGTCGAACACTTGGTGTGCGATCGAATTTTCAGAATTTTCCTTTTGGTCGTGGATTAGAGATTAGGATTGCCCCCACGTGTTGGTCGTGGTTGCTCTTGTTATGACCCTTTTGGTCGTAAACCGCATTGGACTCTTTCTTCCCATTTAAAGGTTGTTTTCGTGCACTTGAAGATACACCCCTTTGGATTTTACCACTCTTAATGCCAGCCTCTACTCTTTCTCCTGTCAGGACTAGCTCGGTGAACCCGACCGAGGAGCTTCCAATTAGGTGATTGAATAAAGGTCCCGTCAAGGTTCCCATAAAGATGTCAATCATCTCCCTATTAGTTAAGGGTGGCTGAACTCTGCTTTCCAAGTCTCTCCACTTTTGGGCGTACTCTTTGAAGCCCTCGTTGGAACGCATGGTCATATTTTGTAATTACACACGAGTTGGTGCAAGATCAACGTTGTATTGGTACTGCTTGTAGAAAGCAACAACCAAATCCTCCCAGGTGTGAATGTCGGTTCTTTCTAACTGATAGAACCATTCCAGCTGAGTGCCAACTAAACTTTCTTGGAAGAAATGGACCCATAGCTTCCGGTCAGCAGTGTGAGGCTGAATCTTGCAGACATATGACCTCGGATGCATTTTAGGACAAGAGATTCTGTCATACTTGGAAAAGGTAGGGATTTTGAACTTTGGTGGGATGACCACTCCGGAAACCAAACCTAACTCTTCAAAGTCCAAGCCAGGTATCTGCTGAATCTCCATAGCATTGAGGCGATCCTCCAGTTATTTGTATTTATCATCAGCGGGAGGATATTGTTCCTCAGAAAAGTCAGCTTCATTTTCATCCATCCCTAGACTGCCATCTCCTTCTTTTGTCTGATTGTCACCTTTGGTTGAC